TAACTTTTGTTATTGAAGTGTAGTTGATTTACAATGTTGTATGCGTTCTGGTGTACAGTGTAGTGATTCAGTTATACATACATATACATATATATGTATTCTTTTTCATTACAGTTTACTACAAGCCATTGAATATAGTTCCCTGTGCTGTACGGTAGGACTTCTTCTTGATCTATTCTGCACATAATAGTTCATATCTGCCAATCCCAAACTCCCAATTTATCCCCTGGTAACCACAGGTTTATTTTCTATGTCTGCAAGTCTCTTTCTGTTTTGTAAATAAGTTCATTTGTGTCATATTTAAGATTCCACATGTAAGTGATATATAATATTTGTCTTTCTCTGTCTGACTTACTTCACTTAGAATGACCATTTCCGGGTCCATGCATGTTGCTGCAAATGGCATTATTTCATTCTTTTTTATGGCTGAGTAGTATTCCACTACTAGTATATACACTACATCTTTATCCAGTCATCTGTCAGTGGACATTTAGGTTGCTTCCACACCTTGGCTGTTGTAAATAGTGCTGTTACGAACATTGGGGTGCGAGTATCTTTTCAAATCAGGGTTTTCTTCAGATATATACTCAAGAGTAGGATTGCTGGACCATATGGTTCCAGTGTCTGCTTTTTAAAATTAATTTGTTTTTGTGACTATCTTAATAAAGACACAAGTAATAATCCATGAAAAAAGACACCTCTACACTACATGTGTGAAAGGATATACATTTAACCTCATGGATTCTATGGACATTCTATAGAATTCTTTAAATTATAAAAATGGGTTATGTCACCTCCTATGTCTCAAAATTGCTGTCCTTTCAGATGACAGTTGAACAGATGAAAAACAGTTGCCCATCATCTGTTTCTTAACCTGCTGTATTGGGATTTTCTGTTCACCTGTCTATATCTCCCACTAGACTGAATTTCTTGTCAGTATCCTGTTCCCAGCTTGCCACACACAAGTAAGTGCTAAAGGTTTGACTGAACGAATGAATAAATGGATACCATGTTTGCTATCATGGAGGTAGGGTCTTGGGCTTGTAGTAAGGTTCTCAGCTAAGCCAAGATGGATTTTGGTCTTAACCATTTCTCACACAAGAGAGATCTTACCCTCTTAAGTTGTTCTCATAATCACTGAACTTCTGTTCCTACCCTCAGAAGTGCCCAATAGCTTCCCTTTACATCCTAGGCAATTAATCTGCAAATGATGTAAATTCTCATCTTTTCTCATTTCCAAAGGAAAGCGATAGCCTTAGTCCTGTTCTGCAGAATGAGATTTAAAAAAAAATCATGCTGTTGTTTGCTCTGTGCCATCAGCTCTGGGCTGAGTCCAGCTCCACCTAGCTGGGTCCTGAGTTTGGGCTTCCTCTGCTGGGAGCAAGAATGATTTAAGCTGTCAACTCCACTGGAAACTCAGCAGAGAAGGCTCAAGGCTCACATAAAGGCTTCTGAGAATCCTGCACGTGTGCTAAATGATCTGCAGTTAGGTCCTGGCTCTCCAAACTGGCACACGGACAAACCAGGCTCCTTATGACAAGAGAACACTTTAGAGTGTAGAAAGCCAAGCATGTAAATGATAAGCCCCCAGATTAAGGAAATAAGAGGCTAGGGGAATCCTAGGAGCCACGCCAAAGATAAAGAGATGAGAGGAGCAGGTGCAAATTTCTTGGCCTCTGTGGACCAGATGGTGAGAGTCAGGGAGTGCTGACTGGGTTGCAGGCGGCTGGAGGGAAGGCGTATCTACGTTTGTCATGTGATGTGATGTTTTCCACGGTCACGTGACCCTGCCGTCCAGGGCATTGGAATAGGAGAGCAGATGTGGAGGGGGAGAAAAGATGAGGAAAGCTTGTAGTTGACTTATAAATTGCCTCGAAGGGACTTCATTTCATCTGAGCAAAATTTACTTCCAGGTAAGTCAGATCCTCCTTTCCCACCCACTCCCGGGAAGTTTCCAAACGTGACCCGGCAGTATTGCGTAGCCGTTAGCATGGGGTTTCAGGCTTGCTTTAATAAGCCTTAGCAAAGAAAGAAGACATTCTCCAAATAACTTCTTTATTTTTAAAATTCTTTTGGGTGAAGGGTAGGTACTTAGGTGTATTTATTTTACAGGAGGTACTGGGTATTGAACCCAGGACCTCATGCATACTAACATGCGCTCTACCACTGAGCTATAGCACCCCCACCCCAAGTTCTTTCGATTTAGAAGACTTTCTGACCTAGACTCTTAACTTCTCCCAAAAAGAAAGAAGCAAAATCTCAAAGGATCCTGGAAAGCATATTGGAGGGCAGGAATACATTCCCCTTGACTGAAGAACAGTTCTGGAGGGCAGATGGACCCAGGAGAGACTCACATGTCGGGAGAGGAAGGGAACATGCGCCTAAGCCAGTCCCATCTCCCTTGAGATAAGTCAGGGTGACTGAGGCCACTGGTGGAGTGTGACAATAATGTCTCACCTTTGTCTTTACAATTTGCAAAGCACTTGTGCACAGCCTATCTCATGCCTTCCACAACAGCGGAGAGCTAAGCCAACATTCGGCATCACCACCCCACTGGGAACCGCTCTTCAGTCTCTGACTCTGGAGCACCCAGACCTGCTGCCCCCAGAGCACTGACCAGATGGCGTTGTCGCTACTTTTCCTAAAGCACCCACGTGGGGTTGGGACATGGTTGATATTTGGCTGGAGGGCTCAAGAATACCTAAGCTTTGATGGCCAAGCATTTTGCCTCCCTCCTGATTCCCTGAGGGAGATGTGCAGGTAAAGGATAACGGGTGAGAGACCCCAGAACCACTCTTATTTTCAGCTGGGCTCCTTTTGGACTTCAGCAAAGGCATGAACCTCCAAGCCAAGGGGCTAGGGACCGTCTCCAGCTCCCCAACCATAAAGCCTGTGCTCAACTCCAAGCGAAAAGCCCATCGATTTGTGAAGAATAGAAAAGAAAGCAAGAGACTCTCCACCCCAGCGAGGCAGGCTCTGCTTGTCTCTCCAGCCAGGAGAGCAGCTGCGCGGAGTGAGCGCTGGGTTCGCCCAATGGGCGTGTCCACAGGTTGAGGGCGGGACCACCAGAGGGCAGGACCAAACGGAACTTTTCAAACACGCTGGCCCCGCCCCCTGGCAGAGGAGGCCCAATCAGCGCCCCTGAAAGGGCTCTCTGGTACTAGTACTGGGGGGAGGGAGGAAGAGGAGGCGTCTCCACCGCGGCACTGGCACACTAAGCCAGGAGGGTGCTGAGGCCTGGCCTCAGTCTTGACCGTCCTGATAGCTCCGTCCCCATCCTAACAAACTGTGCAACACACAGTGGGCTCAGAAGAGATTTCTCCTTGCTGAGAGGACATGGAGATTAGCGTGCACGACGTCCCAGGTTCAAGCCCCAGTACTTGCAGTAAAAAAAAAAAATACATCGATATATAAATAAACTTAATCACCCCTCCCCCGCCCCAAATAAAATAAAGGATACAGGGCTCTGATTTCACAGCTGGTAGTGGCCGTGCTGGAACTCGGACTCGGGTTTTAAAATGGAGCGTGACTTCCTCTACATTATACAGCTCTGTCCTACGACCCCTTCCTTGGGCAGGTAGCAACGTGTCACCTGGGACTCAGTGCTGAGGGCTTCCTGAAGTTGAGCGCACACGTTCTGTGTGTGCATTTCCCGGGGAGAGGCTCCCTGGGTTTCCAGCCATTCTCCTGCTCTCTCTTCTGAATGGCTAGGACCTCCACGGCCTTCCTGGGTTCACAACTGCACCTTTGGAAGGCGTCGAGCTTGCAGTTTCAAATAAGAAAGAGAATTGGCTCACACAGGCGTGTATTTTCTCAAACTTGAAAAAAATTAAAGCAAATCACTTTTCAGCCCTAAAATATCTCTGTCAAGTGAGAGTGACATGGGAATGTCATAAAGACAACTGAGAGACCGATGCTTCCAGACGCTAATCCCTGCTGGTAACTATGTTACCTTGGGGGATCACCAAAATAGTCACTTTTAAGGCCCATTACATCACCAAATCTGAGCTGGAAAACAAATGAAAGAAATACTAATATTAGAATTATGCCCCAAAGGATTTTTTTCAGATTTTTTCCAATGGCTTGTGGTGGTGGTTAGGGGAGAAGTTTGGCGATATGGGAGGAGGGGAAGAAAACCATCAGTGATTTAGTGAATTTTTCATCTTTGTTATTCAGAATATGTGTTAGTCAGGATAGAGTTGATTGTGCTGCTGTAATGAGTAATCCCCAACCCTCAAGGGTTTAAAGCCACAGAAGTTTATTTCTGCTTATACTACATGTCACCACTGACCAGCAGGTGCCTCTGCTCTTCATAATTGCTAAGGGACCCAAGCTGATGGGGGTGCCATGATTTTCTGACACCACCAGCTTCACACAAAGTTTCAGAGTTGACTGGCACAAAGTCACATCTGCTGTGTTCCCTTAGCTACAGCAAGTCACGTGGCCACACCCAGCTTCCAGGGAGGCAGAGACACACACCCAGAAATGAGCCCTGGGTGGTATGTCATTCCCCAGTCCTGTCTCAGGCATCCTTTTCTATTCTGAGCTGAATTTAAAATAGTTATGTGGCTCAGAAAGAAAAAAAAGTGTTTCTGCACTTCATCTAAATAACCATGTTTTTATCTGACTCAGAGTCGAACCATCATATTTACAATGTAGAGCTTAAAATGCCTCCACGAGGACACAGGTCTAGAATCAGTGGAAAGAATCTGTTTGGGAAGAATTTCTTAACCAGTGCCTCCAATTAGTCAGGAATATACTCTGAGAAAACACATGGTTCACAGCTCCCTTTAAGGGGTTGAGTGAAAATTTAAATGTTCAAGCTACAGTTGTCTCAGTGAAACGTGTGCCCACAGGATTCACAGTGCACAGCTGCCCAAGAAGTGTTTTAGTGTGAAGAACTGGTGTTCAAGTGTAGCTACTCTGTAAGACTGATACCTTAACACACAGTGGTCGCTTTCAGACCGTCAGTGAACCCCTTTAAAACATCATGGTGCTGTGTTTGCTTGGAAAGCAGGTGCTCATTGAAAATGATCCAGAGAAAATTAGCTTGGCCCCTGGTCAAGGACGACACCCAAACTTATGATGCGGTCCATATTTTGGGGAGAAGTTGAGTGAAATTCTGTGAATGGCTGGCAGTGATGGCTACACAACCATGTGAATGCACTTAAGGCCACTGAATTGTCCACTTAGTGGTTACAATGGTAGATTTTATACTATGTGTATTTTACCACAATAACAATAGCATGTTAAATGGATAATATTTTGGATATATTCCAAATAAATAAATAAAAATATTTATTTAAATAAAATGTATTATTAGTTAAATATAATATATTATTTTATATACAAATAAAATATATTATTAGCATTAAAAAAAGTCAACAATAGCATGTTAAACGGATAATATTTTGGAATGTATTCCAAATAAAAAAAATATTTTATTTAAATAAAAATATTAGTTAAATAAAATATATTATTTTATATATAAGTAAAATATATTATTAGCATTTTAAAAAAGTCAGGGTGCTGGGTAAACACAGCAGGGGCAGATGTCTGCACTGCAGTCACCGAAGGCACTCTAAAAAGGCAGAAGCTGCCCGCCCGATAATGACAAGACTCTGTTTCCAGCACTTTATTTTGAGTAATGCGTGACAAGGAAGCCCAGTAATGGCAGGCTCACCCCTTACAGCAGCGTTGATGGAGTGATTATTCTCTCCGTCTGACAGATGAGGAAGCAGAGCCTCTAGGAGTCTGACTGGTCCAAGGTCCCATGGCTGATAAGTGATGGGGCCAGTGTCCAAACCAGGCAGGCTGGCTCCCAGGCTCCTTGTTGTCACTCAGCCCCGGTGCAGAAAGTCGAGGCTGCCCATGAAAACAGCAAGTAGCAGCCATGAACCCAGGACGGTGAGATGAGGCTAGTGTGGTGGCCCAGATCAGCCAGGCAGGGGACAAAGTCAAGCGTCATTAGACCCGCATCCCTCGGAGCCCAGCGTGGTTTCCACGGCAAGGCACCTCAGCCACACCCTCAGGAAGGGAGGGTGGATAAAAAGTGCAGAGAAACGATCAGGCTCACGCCAAGGATTGAGGGACCCTCTCCTGTTGCTGGCTTACTTCTTTGATGGCGGGAGTCTACCCACCACAGGATCGGTGAACACACGCAGTGCCCTCCTGTGAGTTCCCAGTGTGCCCACCTCTGGGGCTGTAGGAGTCACTCTTCACACCAGCAGAAGGAGTGGGAGACAGTGGGGACAAGGGTAACAGGCAGTGAGTGCAGCCCACATTGGCTGGCCAGTGAGTCTCTCCGGGTCACAAGAGCCATTGGATTGGTCCATCTGGTGATGTTCACAGGCTACACACCTTGATCCTCTTCTGAGAGCAGAGATGATGAAAGCAAAGGCTTTAGTGAGCAGCCCCAGTCTCACCTGGAGGGCAGGGGCTGAGAGAACTTGTGTCCACCTGCACACCGACCCCTGACCTGCTCCCTCCCCACTGCAGTCCCCAAGCCCCTGAATTTGGAGTTCAGAGCAAGCCCCAGGGCCAGTGGATGCCATCTGATGAATCCACATCCTTCCTTGCACAGCCTGCATCTCCTCTGTGCAGACACCACCCACACATCTCTTCATTCTGTCCTCGCAGAATGCCTGAGAGGACAGTGACTATGATGCAGGATGCAAGCGTGAACACGAGGTCTTGATGTTACAACCCGAGGTTGTAGCCAGGATGAAAAGTATTTGTGGTTTATTTATTTGTGGGGAAGTAATTAGGTTTATTAATTTATTTAATGGAGGTACTGAGGATTGAACCCAGGACTTTGTGCCTGCTAAGCGCACGCTCTACCACTGAGCTATATCCTCCCTCCAGGTCCTTATCTTTTCAAAGATGCCTTTTCTAATCTCTGGACTCACATTTGTTCTGCCCCCAACTTCCATCCCAATCTCTAGCATTCCTGCTTGGTTTTTTTTTTTTCCTAACATACATTCTAACCATGTGTTTGTTGTCCTTCTCTTTCAATTAATTAGAACGTCAGGTCCACGAGAGCAGGGATTTCTGTCTGTCTGGTTCACTGCTATAATCCCGGTGTCTAGGAAGGGGATGTTGAAATGAATGAATGAATGATTATATAAATGGCCAGCACAGCTCTTGGCCCCAAACCATCTACGTACTTAAACATTTCCATTTCTAACTTTTCCGCTGAGCTGCAAACATCCAGTAGCTTCACCTGCAGACCGAAAAGCCTCACTGGCTGTGTAAGAAGAGTGATGGATAGAAACACTGACGGCCACCAACCAGTCTCCTCCCACAGTCCTGACTCAGGCTTCCCCCATCTCGGTTACAGGTACCATCATCTACCCAGATCCCTAACTGCAAACCTAGGCATCGTCCTTAATTCCTTCCCGTCCCCTAGTCTCAACTCCAGTCCATCAGCACCACCTGTTGGCTTGACATCCAGGATGAATCCCTGCTGTGTTAACGTCTCCCCATCCATGTCTACTGTTCAGTCCGAGCCAAACTACCAGAATTTCTTACCTCGATTTCACAGTGTCTGAACTGTTGTCTCTGCACTCATGTACTTCCATAATCTGTGCCCTCTAAAGCAGATGGAGTAATCTTTTTTAAATGTGGATTAAATTACATCACTTCCCTGAAGAAAATTTCTCTTGGGGTTCAATCCATCACAGCATGGAGATGAATCCAGGCTCCTTACCAGGGCCTCCAAGGTCCTGCCTCTAACCTCTGCTGCTGTCATACACTCTGTCGCATCCTCTCCTGGTCCCACGCCCCACCCACAAGTTTCTAGAGCAATTTGTGCTTGTTCCTGCCGAAGGACCACTGTTCTTACTCTTCCCTCTGCCTCCACAGGAGGGAGGAAGTGGAGCCACAAACCCAAGCAACCCTTGCAGGGGCGTCAGAACCACGGGCCGGAGAAAACAAACCGAGTAGGGAATCCAAGGCGCCAAGTCAGAGGTCAGAGGTCAGAGAACAGAGTCCCCTGTGCTCTACAGCAGGACCTTGCTGTTTATCTAGTTTATACATGGTAGGTAGTATCTGCAAATCCCAAACTTATCTGAATTTAGAGTAGTAGAACAATTAGAATGATAATTAAAGAGCAAATATGGAAACATTAATTGTACATATTTTCACTCAGTATCGAGCTAGGTACTGCAGTGATTACGGAAGCAGAAAGTAGTGGCGGGGGTCAGGGAGGTCCTCGCCTTTGAGGGGATTAGAGATCAGCGGGACAGTCATCGTCCCCAGCCTGCTCCTTCTTTCAGGTTTGGACCAGCTAATGTCTCAGGCTAGACCATGTATCTAACCTAGCTTCTGGTTAGGTCCTCAGACCGAGCCCTCCTTGGTCTCCCAGGGGAAGGATGCAGTCACCAAAGTAAAACAAGAGGAAATAGCAGAGACAGCAGAGCACTGGAAGCTGAATTGGAACTAAAAAAACATGCACACTCTAAAAGTTGAGAGTTCGTTTTCTTCTAGGGGCTTTCTGAGGACTCCAGCCCGGGAGGTGGCCTCTCAGATCGCTCTAAGAGAGGACTCCAGAGAGACAGGGGAGGAGTCAGGATAGATAGGAGTTTTTGCAACAAAGGCCACATAGTCAGAACGTCAAAAGATTACTATTAATTAAAGAAAACCAAATAGCCCAAGTTAAGGAATTTAGCACTTTTCTATGTATGGGAAGGTGCAAAAGTCTGGGCTCATTGAAATCATCCCTTTGATGTGCACCCAGCCGTCTAGGGCCAGTGTCCTATTCTTTCACATTCTGAGTCCCCTCAGGGGTCACCCCTGGGGGTGGCTGCAGAGGCCAGGCTGCCTGCTTGTCTCCATCTGAGTTCCCTCCAGTCCCCCCAGGGGCAGCGGTAGTGGCTAATGACTTGATGGCCACAGCATCCTTTGTTTGTCGATATGGCAGGCAATATTTTTCATTCATGGGTGGCATGACCCAGGAGTGCCAAGTAATTCAGAGAACCAAGGAATCATGCAGAGGGGAGTCACTGGGAGTCACTGGGAAAAGTGGCTTGAAGAAGTAGGAGCAGAGGCAGAGAGCCCCGTGTGAGAATTCCAGCCCTTTCCTCACTGTGTGACCCGGGAATCATCGCTTGACCTTTCATGACTCAGTTTCTTCATTAAACACCAATCAAGGTTTGATGGCAGCTTTCAAAGAGATGGCAGAGGGCCCCACGTAGTTAGAAAATATTACAAGACAGGATATTAAAACCAACGTGGGGATTTGCTTCTAGTGACAAGGCTACACTGGGGAAGCATTTATTTTTAGACTTTCTAAACCTTTGCAATTTGTTTCCGAGGATTCGGGGAAAGAGTATGGATTTTCCCATTGGGATGAAACCAGCTCCAAAGCCTGAGTCATCCCTTGACCTGTGTGATCTGCTTCATTCTGATTGTTCAGTTAAATGTTCCACAGGGCATTTCCCTGCTTCCTGGCCAAATTCACAGTTAGGGGAGTGGGAGAAACAGGAGGGACCTCTGCCAGGGAGACTGTAGAGTAACTGGCCAGGTGCAGCCCAGGGTGACGGCGGCCCTGCGTGGAGCAGCTGTGCCCCGAGTTAGTGCATTAGCTACATGGTGAGGATGGGGGCTCTCAGACCGGCAGGGCAGGTGGGGAGGGGGCAGCGGGGGTGGGGGAGGGAACAAGCAAATCGCCCAGGAAGCAGAAGGACGTTGGAAAATTGAGAGATGATCTCCCCAGGCTCAGATCATCAGAGATGGTTACTGTAGAATCTGTGGACTTTTGCACCCCCAGGCTAACTGTGTGCCTGATCTCTGGGGCTCGGGAGCCAAAACGGGATCTGCCGGTCCAGCCTGACATCACATCCAGGGCTCACTTCAGCAGAGGAGCCCACAAAACTGAGCAGATGCTCGCTAACCTATCAGGGGTGCAAATACAGTAATGAAATGGTGCTCAGAGCAGGCTAACAGCAGCAGTGCCCACCTCCTCACAGGGACTTCGTCCCCATTAGTGTGAGAGGAATTTTATATCAACTCCAATGACCACATATTTTTGTTCCTAGATTCTCTATACCACAGAGAAAAGCCAACGTGCTACAACAGAAAAACAAGAACAAAAACAGTAACA